TCTACTGCCCGCACCTATTCCAAAATACAGCCATTAGTCTACCGGGTGTCCAGCTTGTTGGCTTGGCCCACACAAACACTCGTATACGGTAACAAGACTCCATGGCTCCCTTTGTAATGTTATTTTTCTTGATAAGCATTTTTAGCTTTTTTGGCCATTTTTCAATGTCTATATTTGCCATTAGATTTTCTTTAGCCAAATGGTAATAGAATGTTTTCCTTGCACACTCTCCATATGTGCTCTCGTGGCAAGTCTTTCCATCACCCTGGCTTTGAGTCGAAATTCTCATAACGGCAAGTTCCCATCACCCTGGCCCACAACCAAATTTTCCCATCACAGCATGCTCACATCACCCACTCCTCAAATCAAATTTTTTTCATGACTGGTCACATCATCTAGATTGTAGGGGTTACAAGAACAATTTTTCTTTCTTTCTTTCTTTCTGAAGTAACAAATGATTGGTTATTTTTTGTTTTGACATAGGCATACTACTAAATTTGCAACTCAGCTTATTTTTATATTTTAGCACATTACAAATACTTGATGTTATCTGTTTTAGTTTTTTATTTGAATTTGTGCATTCAGAAAAGCTATAATAAGGAATCTCTATATTCTTTATATTTAATGTATTTTGGAAACATTGATAGAAAAAGAGAAAATCATGGTGTTATCAAAAGGGTATTACTCCCCTAGTAAAGTAGAACACTGTAAAGCTGGTTTATTGTAACAGAAGTGAGTGTTAACAAATATAGTATGATTAGAAAATAAGCTAACAGATCAGTTGTAGTCTTTGAAAGGGCTTTTTTTTTATTACTTTTGATATAGTTCTGGCATAATGATTTCATTCCAGGACCACTTAAATGTCTTATTTCTATTACTTTGTTTCTGAATTATGATAAAGGTAAGGAATATAGACTAACTTCTTTAGCAATTTCATGGTATGATTTTAGATACATAACAAATTTTAAAAATATGTATTACATATTTTTAATATGCTAAAGGGAAAAGACAGTGGTTGACTACACTTATAAATAACTTAGTTTTTAACCTTTATTTCAACACATCATCTTTTTTTTCTCTCTCTCTGTTTTCAGTTTCCAATTTTTAGTTTTCAAGAATTACGCTTATACTTAGCCATATATATTTGTACAAAAATTCTTTTGTTTTTTTGTGCCATTTTGTAAATGTTCTTGAAATCTTAACCCACTCACGACGGATTTCTCACAAATGAGACTTTGCCGGGCATCCTGCCAGTGTGACGCTGGATCGGAGCTTGTGCTCTGATTCCGTCTCGGGCAGCGGCCAGCACGCAGGCAGATTCCGGGCCAGCCCCACTCAATGATTTTGAAGCCACTCAGAAACCATTACTTTCGGCTTCAAATTATACCATCACTAGTTTTGTTATTACTTATAATCCTTGTAACTGACAATATATACATGCTTTTCTTTTTAGTTTTTTTTTTTTTTTTTTTTTTTTTTTTTTTTTTTTTTTTTTTTTTCTTTTTCTTTTTTTTCTTTTCATCTTTTTAGACATTCCTTCCATTATACATCTCCATCTATCTCATTTTTCTTCACAAATATGTTTACCTTCCAGACCGAAAGATCAGAATACTCCAAAGAAGAAGCGGAAGACTTGGATGAGGACGAAGGAGTGGCCGGAGAAGTAATGTCTGGGGAAGAAGAGCAGGAACAAGAACCTGAAGAGGAAGAAGAGGAAGAGGAAGAGGAAGATGAAGAAGGAGCATTAGGGGAGGGGGAAGGCCTCTCCCACGGTGTTCTCTCAGATGTCGAGGATGGCTATGAACAATCTAACTCTTCACTTCCCAATTCTGACATATCCACAGATGTGATGAGGCTGGCATGTATGGGTGCGTTTTCTCATGCATGTATGGTTGTTTATGCTTTTGGAGGGAGATTTGGGTTGAGGGTATTTACATTGAATATATTATGGATTTTTTTTGTTTTTGTTTTTCTTTTCTTTTCTTTTCTCATTTTACAAGGTGAATTGCTTATCATGCTAAATGGATAAAGTGAATTATGATTATCCTTGAGTGGAAAAGTAGAAGTTATATTTGCAATAAGTTTTTTTATTTTTTCACTGCTCTTAGGACATTTTCTCAGTTTTCAACCATTTCCATATTCTTATTATGCAGGGTCTTGCCTTTGTGCTGAATAAAGTAAAAGCCTATTCCTTTCACAGACGGAACTGCTACAAGTTGATTTGAGTGAGGATGGAACACAGTTCATAATCGGTCCTGGTGGTTTCGGAGATATGATGTCAAGAACTTCGTCACTAGCCGGAGATGATGAGAGAAATGGTGACAAAGAGCAGAAGAAGCCGTTTGTTTGTCCTCTCTGTGGGCAGTCATTTACACGTCGTGACAACCTTGCCAACCATATCAAGGTAAGAAATGGAGAAGACATTGTTGGCAATATATGGTCAGGAATGATGTGTTCTCTCATTCAGGAAATGAATGAAGACTGATCTAAATATATTATTTTATCTTAGTGTGGTTTAATCTTACTCAAACATAAACCATATAATAATTCAAATATGTTTGTCAATTTTGGTTACTATAAAGAAAATTACAACAAATCAAAAGGAGTCAGAGACAAGAGAATGATAGAAATTAAACTTGTATTTGAATCTGTAAAAAGTAATGTTTGATCCAACATGGGTTTACTTTTCTGTCTTTTTTTTTTTTTTTTTTTTTTTTTTTTTTTTTTTTAAGTTATTTTTTATACTATTCTGATGTTTAAAAATGGTATCCCCAACCTTTTTTTACTAAAGTTTGATATTCAGGAGGTCGTCAGAATTTATCGCCCCATTAATTACTATTTACTTCTTCTGTTGCCAAAGCTTTGTGGAAATTATTTTAAAAAGGAATAAATAAATGAATAAATAAATAAATCCTAGCTCTTTCATTGCGGGGAATTCCTGCCCAGTTATATGGTGTAAGATGAAATTTTATATATTTTTGAGACATGTAAAGTGAAGAAAAGTAAACTCTAGGAAAGTAAATACATCCATACACATATTCACCAACAACAGCAAAGCAGCATATGTTTTATTAGGCCTATGTGGAAGTGGATGAGAGGGGATCAACTTTTTCATTATCCATATCCTCCAGGTCATGTATATTACAGGACAATTGCTTATCAAGTAGGGAAAGAGAATGATAGGGGTGAATGGAAAGGAATCATTCACTTCCAAGAATGAATTAAGAATTCTTTGTGTTTTCTTAGTTTCATCAAGGAAATTAGGAAGAAAGAAACAACTCTTGATTCATTCTTTAACCCAATGATGATGGTAATAAAACTTGGTTAGTGATCAGTAAAGTGGGGTGGTTGGTACACATCAATAGTTTCCTCATTTTGAGTCAGCCTCATTTGGTATTTCTAACTTTGCTTTGGTCACCTAATTTTGTACAGCTGGACTTATAAGTAGATGTTTGAAGAAAAAAAATTAATGCCTGTATATCAGAGTGAAACCAAACTGCAGTGATCAGAGAGAGTTAATGGTGTGGGGTATGTCATGCAGAGATATCTACAACCTAGCCCAGTGAAATGACAACATGCTGTCAGTGTTTAATGGATGAACCCCTTCCATCAGGAGGATGGGACCATTACATCATAAAAAAGTTTGGCTTGAGGGGTGGGTGCTGTGAGCAAGCTGTTATGGGAAAATTTGGCTGTAGGTTGGGGTGACAGGAACTTGCTGTAATGAAAATTTAGGCTGAAGGCCTTTGTTACAGGAATGATTTGCCATGAGTGCACAAAGCTCTTGGAGGGTGATTAGACTCAGTAGGCTTTTAGGAAGGGGCTTTTACACTATTTCCATCAGTTAACCCATTTATGATGGGTGTCCCTCATATGAGACACCTGGGAAAAAATTGCCGGGCGTCCCGCCAGTGTGACGCTGTATTGGGGCTCGCGCTCTGACTCAGCAGCGGGCCGCAGTCGGCACTTGGGCAGAGTCCGGGCCAGCCCCGGGCACTGATTTTGCAGCCGCCTGGAAACTTTTATTTTCAGAATAAAAATTCAAAAATTCAAAATATATCAGCGGTATTGGGTTAACAAGTGGGGAATGTACCATCCATGAGCCATGACTGGAAGAGCACTCGCTCCAGGGTGGACGCTATGTCCACTCTCAGGATCCTATTCCTGCCCACCATGAGTGGCGGCACAGGTTGTATTGCAGAAAATTTAATGTTTGGGGGGGGGGGAGAAAATTACAATGCGACTGTAATTATTGCACTGAGTTATGGACCATTTAGAGAGATGATAGGGAGTTTTTGCAAGGAAAACATTCTTTTACCATCTGGATAAAGCAAGTCAAATGACAAATATAAACATTGCTATTCCTACCATGCCCTTTGGACACCCTTGTTAATCCCTACCTTCCTGAACTGCTATACAACTTCTGACATGCAGCATGTTTAATTATCAACTATCCCAGTCTTTACCCTTTGTACTGTTACACTTTCTAAAGTGCTATATGACCTTTGATGTCTAGCAAATTGATTTTGTTTTGTAACCATTAACCATTATCGAGATATTCCCCTCTTATAAACCATGTTATAATTTATTCCTTTGGGATGTTTTATATACATGATGTTTCATTCTGAGTCACATTTTTTTTGGTCCATATAAACCTGTTTTTGCTGGGAGTGCACTTAATTTTCATTCTATTGATTTTGCCTACATTTAGATGACTTCACATGGGTTTAATTTCCAAGGAGTAAGCATTGATAGCAAATATAGACATTTTCCAATCTCTATATTTGTCATTAATTTGCTGTATCTAGATGGTAATAAACTGTTTTACTTGCACAGACTATATCACCTCTTTAGGGAGTTAATAACTCAGTGTAATAAAAAGAACAATAAGTAAAATTTTGTTATATGTGTAATTTTTGTTTTTCCATATTCAATTTTCTGAAATACAACCAGCGTTGTGGGTTACGGCATGCAGGAATATGATCCTGAGCATGGAGATAGCATGCTCTTCGGTGCTCAAAGGCACTACATTTCACTTGTTTATTGATGGAAATAAAGCAAAAGCCCCTTCATAAACACCACATGAGATAAATCACCCTCCATGAGAGTGCTTTGTGCAGTTGTGGCAAGTCTTTCCTGTCACCCTGGCCTTTAGCCAAAATGCTCACAACAGCCAAATTTTCTCATGATACCATGTTCATGTCATCCGTGAAATTTTTACATGATGTAATAGTCACATCATCCAGGCCATAGGGTTAACAGCTATGATTATAATAACAATTATTATCATTATATTAAAAAAAAAGAGAGAGAGAGAGAGATCCGGTAGGCCTTAGAAATGATTTCTTGATGATGTCAAATGTTTTTGGAACCAGCTATATTTAAACAAAATTGATAAAACAAAACAAATGTATGTACATAGATACATGTACTGTCCACTGTAGTTCCACCCCATTTTTTCTACTAATATTGATATTTTTATTATTATTATTATTATTATTATTATTATATTATTGACATTATTATTATTATAATGTGAAAAAACTGATATGAATAAGAATGAAAAAGAATCTTTCCAAGATTCAAGGTAAAAGTGGGATAGGAATGACATAGCATGTAAGTCATGTCATTCATGCATGATAGGTTAATAATGAATAATGAGAACCTGATGTAGACTTATTTGAATTGACAGTATTTATTGAAAATTTACCTTGCTAATCTCATATTTAAGATTAGAACAAGAGAAGGATTAAAATATGTTTAGATTATCATACCATTCTTTTTAATATATCAACGATATGTTTGCAGACCCACACCGGTGACCGTCCGTTTATGTGCCAGTATTGCCACAAGTGCTTCTCAAGGAAGGACTACTTGAAGCAGCATGAACGCATCCACACTGGAGAGAAGCCCTATCCCTGTGACATCTGTGGTCGTGCATTTACCAGGAAAGAAGGACTGACAGATCACATGCGCTGTCATTCTGACTTCCGAGCCTTTTCCTGTGAAACATGTGGCAAGAGCTTCAAGCAAAAATGTGGTTTGCGCTTCCATAAGAGGAATTATAAACATTAACCTGCCATAAAGATCTCCAACACTTAATTCACTGTTCCAATTATGAGGCGGATATGGATAGCCTGTCTCTCAATTAGTTGGATGTGGTCCCTTTAAAAATATGCCAGATAAAGGGCTAATTTATGCCCCTGTACTAAGTTAGGTCGTGCCATTTCCTTTATGTTGAGCACCTAATTTATGTGTTCAGATAGTCAATTTTACCCTGAGCTTTGTCTATGGCCCTGGCCAGATGTATATTTTGGGTATATGATTATGGTTAGTGAAATTTCACAACTTGTACATTGCTGCTCACATACAGGGAACTTTGTGTAAATTTGATTTATGTTTTCACTTCAACAGGCTTAATGTATGGCAAAGGTTTTGCAAAATGGAAATTTACTTTAAAATGTTAGATTAATCTCAGGTAGGCTGTATTAATAACAGTGCTTACCTTGGTGGAGTCATTACCTAAAATTATGCAATCCTAATATCAGTTTTAAAATATACTTTATATTCTTACAACTTTTGATATATTTTCTTCATCTTTTATATATATATATAATGTTTAAAAATTCAAATTTATGACATATTGCAGACCTCCTAGGATAAACTTGGAAGTATGTTACTTGTGTATTTATGACTCGCACAGAAAGAAATTGTATGACACCTTTTTTCATGTTTGATACTCTCTCATCTGTAACTACACTTTAGGTGCTCTTTGTGGTATGTTGCACTCCTTGAGTGCTGTTTTCTTGTCTTTTATAAGTTAAGATTAGATGCACCAGTATTTATTTAACTATGAAAATGATTTTTTGTAAAAATAAAAAACAATAAGATTATGTTATAAATAATATATAATTAAGAAATAAAGAAATATGACACCATCTTTTAAACTGTAATCAAAAACTTAAGTCTTGATCATTAAAATTGAGGCTATCAGTGGAAAACTTGTTTAAAGGCAGGAGTGTCACCTTTCATCAACAGCTCTTGTCTCAGGACAACACTTTTTATGGATTTACTTTGATTGTATCCAGACCTGAAATCACAGTTAGAATAAAACAATACATGAAAACAAAACAGAATTTTCTACTAACACTTGATATGAGGGCTATTACATAGGCTTGAGGAAGATAACACAGCAATAGTAAAATTTGAGTGGTCAGTGGTTACAAAGTTGCCTATACTTTCCTCTCCAAGTGCATATTGGTTATAGTATTCTCCCTCTGGGTAAGAAATCCATATAAATATATACATGTACTTCTGCAGGTTCTAAAGTAAAGCAATAACATTGCCCTAAGAGCTTTGGAAAAGAAGATGGGGAAAAGTAAGGGAGATATACAGGAAAAATTTCATGTTTTGGCTGCCTTGATAGTTTTCCACTGAGGGTCTTAGTTTATGTACCTGCAGCTAGAGCAGTTTAGTGTTTTCATTGTCAACATATCACACGAAATAATCTTTGTTCTTATTAATTATCAAATGCCAGTATCTTATTTTTTTTCATGATTACCATCTTATTTCTGTAATACTTTAATATATATATATATGCACTTGGAATCTGATCTCAAATGGAAACGTTCAAGAGGAATGCCTGTGTGAGCACTGCAGTCAATACAGCACAGACCTGTAGTGTTCTGAGGTATTACTTTCGTTTATCATCTTTTTAATGTTCACATCAAGTCTTGTGAGATCCAAATATATAGGCGCTCATAATACATTTCTTGATTATTAATTCTAACCAGTTCTATGTAATTGTTCTTTAACTTGACTGGATGCTCTCAAAAATAAGTTTTAAAAGCCTAGTAAGTGTTTATGCCTGAAAGGATTTCTGATCCAAGGCTTGACTGAACAAAGAGTCAAACAATACTATAATTTTTACAAGAGTTTTAAGCCTTTTGTTACTGGTTTTATACTTTTTCACAGAAGATATTCCTTGTCAGAAAAATGTGCCATTAAATTTTAAGAGTAAATTGATTCTGTTGATGATCAGGAAGCAGCACTTGGGCCATTATATAGTTTAACCTATAATTTCAGATCTTCAGAAAATTCATTGTACAAGCAATAAATGTCAGACATTAACTGTGTATTATATCTAAATAACGGAAATAACAAATGGAGGATTTCTTTTTAAAAGGAAATTCATACATGAATAAAGAAGTTGAATTAAGTAATGATATGGGGGGACTAATATCATGCCATCTAAAACTCAAAATATTTTTGTTTTTCATAAATATTGAATATGACTCCCACCATATTTTTTTGCTGTTTGTTTAAAACTCGATATTCACCTCAAACTCTATCAAAGCCATCTTTAGCTCTAGTCAGTGAATGGTTTTGGCATTCTGAAATTTTAGTGTTGGCTGGTTTGGCCAGGATTTCTGATTCCGAAGATTATTTACTTCAAATTTAGGCTGGAGAACTATTTTGTTTTAAATGCAGTGGTAGGCAGTGTAAGATTTTTTTTTTTTTTTCATGTGAAGCAAGTGGAAGCTTTTTTATTTAAAATTTGAGTTAATGTCACCTTGAGAATTTAACATCATTCTCGTACTGTCAGAATTGATCTGTCCATTTTTCAATTTTTCATTATTTGTGTAAGCTGAACTGGTGCTTTGTTGAAAGTATATTTATGTATGCAAGCTATGACTGACAACAAATATGTTTGATAAGATTTTTTTTTAATTTGATACAATAACATTGACAGTTTAGTTAGGCACAGGATCATCAAATAATTGCTTAGGATTGCTAAGAGACCTAAGTACTGAGTGCCATAAAGCTTGCTGCTGCCCCTCCCAGTCACAGGCCTAGCACAGACTGGTGCCAGTACCTCAAGTCATTTGTCTCTTCTGTGTGAATTATGATACCAAGAAGCCATTTCACACCCATCTTGTATATTGATCACAAGCAGTGCCTATTAAATGCCACATTCTCGGACTTTGAGAAACAAATTTGTCCATGTTTCCTTGCATGTTTTTTTCAAATTCTGACAGATGTCTTTAGTGAAGAAAGGATTCTTGGAAGATTGCAGTTGTTACCTAAGTAGATTTTGGAACTTGGTATTTCTACACATTTGTATCAATGGCAGTTCTACTACTGTGATAATTTATATATTTTCTGATGTTGCATTTCCTATTTATTTCTATTCGTAACGTAGAGAAATATGCTTACAGTACATGTCCATTGATCCTTTAGTATGTGCTGTAGATAAAGGCTCAACTCTTCTTCACTTCACAAAAAGAAAACTTGAATCATTATCTTAGTTCAACCCATACCACAAATCAATCCTTTTCCCATCCTAGTAAACCGTCACTCTTTAGCCCTGCTGCCTTTGACACGTTGACTGAGGATGCATTGTCTTACATCCAGCCACTTGATTTCCCATCACTAGTCTCACAATAAAGAACAGTTATTAAACAAATGGCTTTGTATTTTTGTATATAGTATCTTTAAAAAGTTGCCATGTCTAGCTGGTTTTTTCAGTCACTTGTCTTAGTCTTAGAGTAAGATTTCATGTGATAGGTTTAATCTAACATGACCTATTTTGGCAAATAAATTAAAATTTTACAAGGAGCTTTCTTTTATTCCTTTAAGAATTAAGGCATACCTCCAGTTTTATGGTGGATAATGCTTCTCTTAGGTGTGCATGTACTGGCTGTTTAAGAAGAAAGGTGGTGTTGGATGAAAAAAGTAATGGCTTTAAAAAAATGCATGATTTGTTTGATGGATTTTGAGTCTTACAAAGTTATAAAGCTAAGAGTTAAGCACATCTGTTATATATAACCTCCTTGAATGCAATATTATCGAAAATTAATTGAGGAAAATGTATTTAAAGATGTATTTATAGACATTATTTACTTTATATTAACCCTACCTTGTTTTGACGAACCCTATTTGAAATAAAAGAAAAAGTAACTAATTTGATATTTCCAAAACATACCGTCACTTTCAGCCAACAAACAGCGTTTCAAATTTACAGCAAAATTATCTACCACCTGGATATTTATTCGCTTTCAGAATATTGAAAACTATTTGCTATGCACTCATCATTTTACAGTTTATGTGCCCAGTGTAATAGAACTGTTGTTAAATTCAAACTAAGAACTTTGCATATTTATTACCGTTTATCCCGCCACCATTTACAAACCCTCTCTTAAAAAAAATAATAATAATAATTTTAAAATGTGTCTTGATGACAGTAAGGCAGGTCAGCGGTTTCTGCAAGGCGTCTCAGTGAAACATACAGGCATAGCATTGAAAATTGTGACTGGTGATTGTATTCATTCAGGTACGTTATAATCATAATTATGATTTATAATTATTACAACCATAAATCTTTAAAATCGCTTGCGAACGTTGCGAGAACGCTGCCGATCACCACGCAAATATATAAACACTACAAACCTGCGTGAGGTAACGCACGCTATTTTCCAATGCTGTCTAGCCCCCATTCCTTTGCTTATATAGTCACTTTACTAGACATTATTTAAAGCTACAAGTATCAAAGTGTTGAAGGATATGAAAATATAGCAGCAAAGCCAACAGAGATCAACTGATGCAGCAGAAACAAAGTGCTGTGGCAGTCACAGGGCTACGAGTTTCGATGGTAAGTGTTTTTCCCAAAAAAATCTTTACTATAAAGGTTGTTCGACTTGCTACATATAGCTTCTTGTATAGCGGGAAAATATAGTTTGTTTCACTCAGCCGTATAGCACAAACTTTATTTTGGCCAATGGATAGAACGACAGGAAATACGATTTTCACATATGATATTTCCTTGGCTATTTGTGCAATACATACTGTGGTATGCATTAATAAGAAAATCTAGGAAGGTATTTTTACAGAATACCTTCGCATAATTGATCGCGATAATCTAGGTATCAGTAGATTCCTCTCACTCTCTAGCATCCAAATATATAGAAATTTTACTGCGGAAACCACCTAATAGCGATAGCATTGGACCCGATAGCATGGAAGATACCAGGGAAACTTTAGAGTAGAATATGAATAATATACACACAATCAGTTAGTTTATTGTCTAATCCAGTTGGCTGTGTCCCTACCGCCCGCTACCCCGCAATAGAACCCAAAGGGTTAATCTTTCCGGTATAGACGCACTAAGGAAGGCCAGATTGTAGATAGCATTCTTGTAGAGGACAAAAGGTTGCAGTCGTCGGTAAGAAATAATCTGCCCACACGAAAATATGGGAAAAAGATTGTGGAAAGGCTACTTCCAGCCGGAGTCCACATGATGCCCCCGAGTTTCAGCTTTATGTTGCCTTGTACACCGAGGTGACGACAATGTTTGCCGGGTGTTGCCCGCTTTCAGCAGACCCCTCCCCCTTCGGCAGTAACTGAAGGGCACACTCAGTCAGGGCAAATTAGGTTCTTGAGTAATGTTTCTAACGTGGATTTGGGGACTGTCTGGCGAGCGTGCCTGTGCTGCAAAGAAATGCCTTTATTTTAGCACTAGTATAACTGAATTAAAAAAAAAAAAAAAAATGCTAGTTTTTTTTTTTTTTTTTTTTTTTTTTTTGGGGAAGCATCCGTAAAATTAAACGAATACACGAGTCCCTTGGAACATACATGGAAAACTTGTTTACTATTGTAGGATTGGATTCGAACGCCGCCGATTCGAACGCCGTCTCTCGGCAGCGCTATAAAGTCGCATTAGTAAGCGGATGCCATATTACGTGTATTAATTTAACTTTTCTACAACTACGCCAGCGTTTGCCTTCTTCATCTCTAGTTCTTACATGGTGCATTAAGTATAGAAGACTTTTCGTAGTTAGCCATGGGCAACACTGGCATGGTATTTCTGCAGGCAATCGATAAGGCAAAGGATGGAAGTGCAGACCACCTGCAGTCATGGCAAGATTGCCGATGCCTCCCAGTATCCCTTCGGCATTTCTCACCCAACCCTGACCTCACCCCATCCCCAGCGCGGGTGGCATGGCCAGTAGCTCAGAAATAACGGCCACTGCTCTCACCGCCAGGGCAAGGAGAAGCGACCCTTGGCATGTCGCCGGCACCGTTTGAAGCGTTGTTTATCAGCATGGAGTACATGGGCAACATTTGTGGGTGGACGATGCTGTTGCCCATTTATGTAAGAATCTTGTGCAGTGGCGAAGTACAGCATATTAATGCTAATGCGAATAGGCAGGAAATCCGGATACTATGAACCACGGCGGCAATCAACACACTGTAAGGTGTGTCGTGATCGGGCAGCAATATAAAGTCGCAGTGTGATAGGATTTTTTCGCATACTCGGAAGACCCAGGTGACACCGTATATGTATATGGATCAAAATGTCGGACATTGCCAGGTGAATGTAAAGTCAAGGGAATTGGATTTCTTATCATGCACCAGTACTGCCAGTGTGTATTTCTGGAGTCCCCCTCTTTCTGGTGGGTGGAAGCTAGTACTTTGTGGTAAGTCACCTCACAGATGCAGAAAAGAACTACAGCACACAAGGGAAGCCCTTGCTATTGCCTCAAAAAGGCACGCCTCTTACTACTGGGCTGCAGAAACCTCACATTCTTCAACGACCACAAAGCTCTCACTAAAACTTTGGTGAGAAGGTACTCAATGATAACAATAACCCCAGTATTTTGAACCTAAAAAGAATAATGTTCATGTATTCCTTCCATATCAAGTACCATATCATATCAATATATTAATATCATATCAAGTATATTAAGTAGGGTAAGACAAACTTACCCAACCCTATTAGACCACAATGAAGTGATTTGTGCAGCCATGATAACTGCATCAAAAACCGTTGAAGGTGATGGAGGACTTGTAGTAAACCATCTGTCATACCAGGGAAATTTCGTCCTGCACACCAATGACGAGAGGCGCCCACATTGGATTAGAGACTATGCTCCGCAAGGCATGCCAGTCAGTCTACTGGCCTGGCATTCCCACAAGTGGAGCAGAAGCAGCACCAGTGCTACTTATGCAAGACAAATCCCCCTCCACCTCAGCAGAGATACCCATATAAGTAGGTCGCAACAGACCTGTTCCAGCTCAACAGCCCGAACTATATTGCCAACATGTATAGACTGACAGGTTGGTTAGAAGTGGAACATACCAGAGGATACCACAAGTGCATACCTCATCACCGTCTGTTGGAGGTGGTTCAAGTGATTCAGAATCTGAGAGGAGTTTTCATGCGAGATTATTATAAAGCAACACTACAGTGAGCAGATCTCTGGAGACTGATGCCGCCGCTAAAGCCCTCTTGCAATTCCTCAGCAACCCCCTACAGAACTCTGATGCCTATCAAGCCCATCTGCTGGCCTTGCGAGCAGTGATCTCGGTTGCTGAGGAATCGGAAACGAGCCTTGCACCACAGGTGAAAGTGGCTCACTCAAACGCGACGCATCCAAAACTCCAACAGTGGACAATGGGATCGCTTTGGTACTATTGTAGAGCTGACACCACCTCAATAATATCTGGTGCGGTTTGACGGCAGTGAAAGATCCCAAGTAAGAAACAGGTGACACCATCCCAAGCCCAGTCACAAGTTGGATCAAGCAGTATCCCAGTACCCCCTTCTACCTTTGCAAGAACAAGACTCATCAGACCCACCCTGCAACATTTGAATGACTTCATGGTTTACAATGCCATAGAATGAGGAACTACTCATGAAACTGTTTTTGTTGGTCAAATCTTATGTATGTTCAAGGACTCGTATGTGAAAAACAGTTATGGATATTTTGTTTCCTTTTACATTGCTCATGTTTTCTCTCACCATGGACAATAGGGTTCATTATACTGGCATAGATGGACTGTCTGTATAATATGCGCCGGTGTGTAGTTTTTACCCGTGGTTTCGAAGGCCGCTAGTCAGCGGCGATATAGAATCGTAGAATTTATAAACACTTGCCTGCGCTTGCTATCTTTACCTCGAGTTCTTCCACCTGTCTTTTGAAGTCACGCTTTTCAGGGTTTTTTTATGAATTCAACTCTATTGTTTTACCCATTGTACAGCAAGAGAACCGGTCTCATCTGTGGACGAATTCTATAACTATGTCATTTATAAGAGAATAATCTAAACACGTCAGTATGCGCAATATATTAAAGAAAATTCTTAAGAAAATCAAATTCCCATGTATTATTTATTTTATTGTCAGTACATGGAGATATCTTGACATGGATACGTAGATTTGCAAAGTATTAAGATTTTAAATAATAATAAAAATAAAAAATAAAATATAATTCAAATGGTAAGATTTTAGGGACTAATAAACAAAAGCCTGAATTGTGAAGAAAAAAAATGAAATTCTCTCGAGAATAACATTTTAAGTTATAGAAAACGACATTGTGTGTGTGGAATTTTTTTTCTTAGAAGTCAACAAATCCCAATTCCATGCACAAATAAATGACTTCGGTGTTAGGAGTAAAATTTGGCTAATACACCTAAGATGTATTTGACACTATACAGTGCATTTGTAAACCTTGCATTTCTTTTTCACTTCACACGATTCTTTTTAAAGAGCTATGGAATTTAAATCGAATAGTATTAAAACATGTAGGCCTCCTTACATTAGTTGTAATTTTTT